CCCGCGTTCCGGCCCGCGGCGGCGGACGGCCCCCGAACGCTCCCCCCCCCTCCGCCGCTGAGCCCGAACCGGGCCTCTCCCGGCGAGCCGAGCCCAACGGGGACGCGGGGTCCAAGCCGGGCTGCGCTGAGGGTCTTACCTTTAACAGATTAGACGTCGCCATGTTCCTTCAACTTAGCGTCTCGCGAGACGGCGCGAGATTTCGTGGCGCTCCGGGCCAGGCCCCAGGCGGAGGCCGGGGTGCCCACCGGGGCCGACCCGCCCGCCGGCCCGCACCGGGGGTGTGCTCGGCACCGCGGGGGCGTGCCGACAGCGCTGACCTCGTCCCGGGCACCTGGAGCTTCCTCACTCGTCCCCCCTACATGGTCACCGGAGCTCCCCCACGCGAAAGAGCTCATGCAAACGCTCGGGGAGACGGCAGCGGCGAATGGTGACGAGGTAGCAGGAGCCGACCTGAAGTGGAAGAGGAAGCATCGACTCCACGAGCCTCCCCACTCCTTCGGATTAGCCTCTGTGGTTGCACCCGCAGCGGCCACGGGCAACGAATTTAGCACGGCTTAGGCCGGGCAGCTCAGGTTCCGCGGCCGCGTCACGTGACGCGGCGGCCGGGGGCGCGCTCGGGAGCGAGCGTGGGAGCCGGGATGCCTCGGAGGGTCGGGAGGCTGTGGAGAGGGCGGCAGCACGCCCTCTGCTGGCGGGACCAGGTATTTTCTCTCGTCCCCCAAAGCCGGGGATGGGGTGTACCTGGAGGGGCGCCATCCTCAAGGAAATGCTTCTGACAGCTGGGCTTAGGTCCGGGCAGCTCATTCGGTAAGAACTGGCGCCTCGAAGGCGTCCAGTAAATGTTTGTGCAATGACTGCTTGAATAAGTGCGCAAAAGCGTGAACTATTAATATTTCCAGTCCAGAGTGCCTGGCACTGAAATAATGAACATTCATCTTGGATTTCCCGTGGGCACATGATTCCAGAAGGTACTAACCATAACGTCCCCCCAAGCTTTAGCCCTTCAGACCACAAACCACTGGCCCAGATAAGAGAATATAACTCACAGAAAACCGACAGTGTACCTGGAATTATGTGATGCATGTTTATAAACAGTATTCATTCCTACATGCATAATATATTAGGAGGGAGGAAAATTAGATCTATGGAGTAAAATGCAGCCAGGAACGGGCATGAAGTTTGCAACTTTGCATAGAATGATCCAAGCAGGTCTTGCTGAGAAGATGCCTTTGGAGCAAAGGCCTGAAGGAGGTGAGGGACAAGACCAGGCCATGTGTGGAAGAACACTGCAGATAGGGGGAACCCGGCGGCAGGTTGCCCAGACTGTGGGAAGAGCCGTGAGAAGGTGGTGTGTTCAGAGCTGCGAGAGTGAGGAGAGCATGAGATCATTTAGGACCTCGTGGGCTGCTGTAATAAAGACTCACTTGTGTCCTGAGTGACATGGGCCATCAATCACGCGGGCTTTTGAGCAGAGGGGTGGCATGATGAAACCCCTGTTTTGAGGACGCTTGGGTGGCTCAGTAGGTTGAGCATCCGACTTTGGCTCCGGTGATAATCTCATGGTTTGTGAGTTTGAGCCCCACATCGGACTCTGCTGACAGCTCAGGGCCCGGAGCCTGCTTCGGATTCTGTGTCTCCCTCTCTCTCTGCTCCTCCCCTGCTCACACGCTGTCTCTCTTTCAAAAATAAATAAAGATTAAAAAAAATTTTTTTTTTTAAATCTCTGTTTTCACATGCTCACTCTACTGTGTAAATAGTAAACAGAAGGGTCATTTAAAGAGCTTCTTAATATCTCCTTAAATTGACAGGACAGTCAGGTGTCCCAATTTTCAAATAGTTTCTTAGAGTAATCTAGGCATGATTAACCGATGATTGAGAGGTAGAGCAAGGACTCAGCCAGCAGGTCTGTAATGTCCAGGCAGAATGTCAACACAGGGATGACCCTTCAGGGGTTATCTTTGTTTGACAGATGGGAAAAACTGAGGCTCAGAGTGGTGATCTGGCCAAGGTCACTCAGGTCAGAGAAAAAGCCTAGTCCAGCATAAACTTTATATAATTATGGTTCCCTTTTCCAGGGAAACTGGGTTTTATCTTCAACCCTAGGCCAACTCTCCTGCTCGATTTAAAGTGTAAACTGATTATAATCAATTTTATGTATCTTAAAATAAGATGACAATGATAAAGCAAGTGAATGAATGAATGAATGAATGAATGACACTTAAGAATCCAACTAAGGGGGCACTAGAGTGGCTTAGTCAGTTAAGAGTTCTACTCTTGGGGAGCCTGGGTGGCTCAGTCGGTTGAGCGTCCAACTTCGGCCCAGGTCATGATCTCGCGGCCCATGGGTTCGAGCCCCGCATCGGGCTCTGTGCTGACAGCTCAGAGCCCGGAGCCTGTTTTGGATTCTGTGTCTCCCTCTCTCTCTGACCTTCCCCTGTTCATGCTCTGTCTCTCTCTGTCTCAAAAATAAATAAACATTAAAAAAAAAAATTAAAAAAAAAAAAAAAAAAAAAAAAAAAAAAAAGACTCCTACTCTTGATTTAGGCCCAGGTCATGATTTCAGGGGTTGTGAGTTCGAGCCTCACATAGGGCTCTGCACTGACCTCACAGAGCCTGCTTAGAATTCTCTCTCTCACTCTCTCTCTGCCCCTCCCCTGTTCATGCTCTTTCTCTCTCTCTCTCAAAATAAATAAAACAAAAAAAGTTTTTTAATAATCCAAGTAAGTATTTAATACTTGTTTGCCTATTATGTATGTACTTGGCACCAGAAATACAGGATTAAATGAGACAGAGGAGACCCGTGCCATCTTGAAGCTTACACAAATAGCATATTACTTAACTGGGGTGCCTGGCTGGCTCAGTCAGTGGAGCATGGGACTCTTGATCTCAGGGTTGTGAGTTCAAGCCCCACATTGGGTGCAGAGATTACTTAAAAACAACCACCACCACAAAATCTTGAAAAAATGACTCATTTGGTGTTGTGATAAATACTCCAAAGGAAAAATCCAACGTGCACTACAGAGCATATAGTATGGAGGGGGGACCAATACCCTAACTGCCATCATTCCCATTTCACACTACAAACCTTGAGAGTACTTTCTGAAACCCAGTTGCAAACATGCCAGGATATTTCCTTCTCCTAACTCACTCGTTCTGGCAACAGAACTTCTATAAGATGTCCCCAGTTTACAATGAGTACTCTATTCCACTGACTCCACCGATTCCTTGTCACCCACCATCCCCTCCTGTTTTTACCTTCTTCCTCTTCCCATTTCGGTCTATGGCCTAACATTACAAAAATGCTTAAATATTTTAAAAGCTTAAATATTTCATTTATTTTAAAATTAGCACAAGCACATGGTACAAAATTCAGAATGTGCTAAGCAGAATGCAGTTAAAAGCAAGCCTCCCTCCCCTTTCTGGGGTAATGTGCTATATTGTGGCTGGGATTTGGGGTATTCAGATGTATGCATTTGTCAAAATTCAGCCAAGTGCTGTTAAGGTTTTTGCATCTCCTTCAAACTTAAAAAAGTGGTAAACAAAATTTGAAATTTAGTTAATGATATTCATGCTGAAGACTTTAGAAGCAAGTGAAGTTATGGTTACAATTTACTCTGAAATGTATCAGGAATAGCCTCAGCAATCAGACAACACAAAGAAATAAAAGGCATCCAGATCGGCCAGGAGGAGGACAAACTTTCACTCTTCGCAGATGACATGATACTCTCTATGGAAAACTGAAAAGATTCCACCAAAAGACTGCTAGAACTGATCCATGAATTCAGCAAAGTGGCAGGATATAAAATCAATGCACAGAAGTCAGTTGCATTCCTATACACCAACAATGAAACAATAGAAAGAGAAATCAAGGAATCAATCCCATTTAAAGTTGCACAAAAAAATACAATACCTAGGAATAAATCTAACCAAAGTGGTGAAAAAATCTATACACTGAAAACTATAGAAAGCTTATGAAAGAAATTTGAGAAGACACAGAAAAATGGAAAAAGATTCCATGCTCCTGGATGGGAAGAACAAATACTGTTAAAATGTCGGTCCTACCCAAACCACTCTACCTATTCAATGCAATACCTGTCAAAATAACAGAAGCATTTTTCACAGAGCTAGAACAAACTGTCCTAAGATTTGTGTGGAACCAGAAAAGACCCCAAATAGCCAAAGCGATCTTGAAAAATAAAACCAAAGCAGGAGGCATCACAATCTGGACTTCAAGCTGTATTACAAAGCTGTAATCATCAAGACAGTATGGTACTGGCACAAAAACAGACACAAAGATCAATGGAACAGAATAGAGAACCCACAAATGGACCCGCACACGTATGACCAACTAATCTTTGACAAAGCAGGAAAGAATATCCAATGGAATAAAGACAGTCTCTTCAGCAAGTGGTGCTGGGAACACTGCACAGCGACATGCAGAAGAATGAACCTGGACCACTTTCTTACAACATACACAAAAATAAACTCAAAATGGATGAAAGACCTCAATGTAAGACAGGAAGCCATCAAAATCCTCGAGGAGAAAGCAGGCAAAAACCTCTTTCGTCTTAGCCGCAGCAAATTTTTACTCAACACGTCTCCAGAGGCAAGGGAAACAAAAGCAAAAATGAACTATTGGGACCTCATCAAAATAAAAGTCTTCTGCACAGCGATGAAAACAATCAGCAAAACTAAAAGGCAACTGACGGAATGGGAGAAGATATTTGCAAATGACATGCCAGATAAAGGGTTAGTATCCAAAATCTATAAAGAACTCACCAACTCAACACCCCAAAACCAAATAATTCAGTGAAGAAATGGGCAAAAGACATGATTAGACTCTACTCCAAAGAAGACATCTAGATGGCCAACCAACACATGAAAACATGCTCCACATCACTCATCATCAGGGAAATACAAATCAAAACCACAATGAGATACCACCTTACACCTATCAGAATGGCTAACATGAACAACTCAGGCAACAACAGATGTTGGCGAGGATGCGGAGAAAGAGGATCTCTTTTGCATT